ANNANGTTATTCATATGCATAGTGTGAGTACGATAGTTAACTGTACTCACTCCCACCTGCTCGTAACTGATGCAGGTTAAGCAGTCGGCGGGTGACGAGACAAGACGGGTGGTGGTCATGCTTTTATTTATTGCTTATTTATTTGCTTCCGCTCATTTAGGGAACTCATGTTGAGATATTTTGATTATGTCGTTTTGAACTTGGAGTTATGAATTATCTTTATGATTTGGAACTTAATGAATGTTAGTTTGGTTATGACTTATTATTCGTGCATGCTGTCTGTATCTGATATTTTGGCATTTTCGGATAAATGTTTTTGGTTAAACAAGTAGCGCCCACTAAGTTTTTAATTAAATTGAGATTTGCGAAAAATTTATTGTGATTTTTATTAAATAAAAACTGTAAACCTTTTAAAATAAAGTGGGGCGTTACAGAATTCATGACCAATTTGCGATTAAACTCAATAAAAAAACATTTAAAATCTTATATAAACTAATGTCAGAGTGATCATGGGTCGTATAAACATCATTTGTGACCAAAATTTGGTCTTCTTATGTGTTCATTACAACTGGTACTAGGGATAGAATATCTGGTACTAACTCTCCATAATGTGGTACTGACTTACACTATGACTGGTACTACTTTTTGTAAATGTTGACCACAATTGAAATAATAAATTTTTCTTCACAAAAGTAGTTACTAATCGATCAAAAGCAGGTACCACGTAGAATAAGATGCGGTACTATTTTGCCCAAAACTGGTACTATTTTTAGAATCGCGATTTTTCTAATCCTTCATGTCTACCATGACACGTGGATCGTTCACACGTGATTTGGATGAAAAAAAAGTGGAAGTGAAAACATATAGGTAGAATTTGGAGTAGTCATGTAGGATGATTTCTATGAGATGAAGTTTGTCATTCAATGAAATGAAGTCTATTAGTAGTATTTTCTCATTAGTGTATCGAGTTCATGACCAATTTGCGATTAAACTCAATAAAAAAACATTTAAAATCTTATATAAACTAATGTGAGAGTGATTATGGGTCGTATAAACATCATTTGCGACCGAAATTCGGTCTTCTTATGTGTTCATTACAAGTGGTACTAGAGAGATGATATCTGGTACTAACACGCCATAAAGTGGTACTGTCTTACACTATGACTGGTACTACTTTTTGTAAATGTTGACCAAAATTGAAATAATCAATTTTTCTTCACAAAAACAGGTACTAATTGATCAAAAATAGATACCACGTAGAAGAAGATGCAATACTATTTTGCCTAAAACTGGTATAGTTTTAATGAGATGAAGTGTTGGTAGTGTTTTTTCATTAGTGTGTCGAGTTCGCGACCAAAACTTAACTTTCTTTATATCCTTCACATTATTTTTTATCTTTCAACTAAGTAGGTATTAAGTACGACAAAACGAGCACTATTTTGAACACAAGGTTGGTACTTTTTTTTTTTTAACTAAAATCATATCACTGATATAACTCGATAATTCATAATGCACAGTACATCTCGTCGACACTGCAATAACTAGTAGCAAAATCATCAGAAAGTTAAAAAGACAAACATTTAAACCAAAATCTTTATCCACAGATTTCTTTTGACTGAAGTTCCCAACAAGCTAAAACACTAATTAAACTAAATATAATCTACGTCCAAATTTTTCCTGCAACTTGGTCCATATTCCTTTGCCCGCTGAATGTGATCCTACGTCCACCTCGTGGATCCACCTCAACGATACTCATCTTCTGCGACTACTGAAGAATGTTACGAGCCACAGACCCACTACTCTTGCCAAAATGGCGCGGATGGTTGCCATTCCTCTTGCTTCCACCATAAATCCTTCGGAAGGCACCAACACCAAGTCCTCCCGTCAAGTAGATCTTTCGAGCCATGGAAGCAGCCCTTATGTAGTACCAATCAAAATCATATGATGCAAGCTCTTTGAGGACGTCAGTTTTTACCAAATCAGTCCAGTCGGGCAGCTCCATCTATTGATCGTGAAATAATAGAAAAAAAATAAGTAAGTAAAATAGCTTAGGGGAACTCATGTGAACTACCTTTCCGTGCACAAAACACCTTGTGGGGGTTAGAATACTACAAAAAATAAAGATTTTCATTAACAGAGAAGAAAACATCAACCATAATTGCCATTACCTGAACTTAATTAAGACAGTATGATAACTAATGTTAGTTTTTCAAAATCCAATCATCAATAATCTCACAGTGACAAATCAGTTCCACAATTTAGTTCTTTACTTCTCGGCCTGAGCAAAATCATTACATCACAAGTAAACAATAAAACAGGCTCTAGACAAACAATTGTAAAATCATCAACGGGGTAAAACTACATCATCAAAAACCATTTACCACATACAATGCCAAGAATCAAACAACCGAAAAACCAATAACACAAACAATAAACCTTCTTCACTCGGTACGCCCCAAAAATTAGGACTTTTCACAAGTCCCACCTCAAAATACATACCCTTTTACAAAAAACACGCATTCACTTGAGATGATTAAGTGAAGAAAAACAATTGAAATGAAAAACAGATAACAGTGCTAGTATAAGCAAAAACGTTCTCACCTTCCCCAAGTGCTTGAGGTGGGAGGCATAGGATTTGACGAACTCGTGTGGAGAGACATCCTTGACGGTCTTCACAGTCGCCATTGCTGAGGAGATCAAGCTCAAGCTGTCAGGCAAAGACGTTTTCACCTTTTTTTTTCCTCTTCCAACCAGCCAAATTAATTGAACAGAGAAAGAGATCGATCGAAAGAGAGAACAGAGTAACATGAACACTAAAGTCTCAAATTTGATCCGTCNAGAGAGAGAGAGAGCAGAATTACACAAAACTAGGTCGAAATTGAAATTAATTGGGGGAATAGCGAAGAACCTAGTTGTAGTAGAGCTCGAGGCCCATGCCGTCGTGGACCTCGTAGTCCTTGAGGGTGATGTGGTTGTTGTAGATGGTGCACCACTTATGGATCGTGATCTTGTCGGCGCGTGTGCCGGTCTGTGCGGCAACTACCTTCTTGAGTGTCCGATGGTGTCGTCCTCGTTGCACTTTCTTGCCCAAGCAGTCGTTGAGCACGAGCTCAGTAACTTGGTGGGTTCAAGTGGCTTTTGCCGGCGACGACGAGATGCATGGAGAGAGAGATAATCGTGTTCGGTGAAGAGAGAGAGATGCAAAGAGAGAGAGTGAAGAAAGAGAATAATAAATTATGTAAAATAAATCAATAATAATAGAAATAATATTTATATGGGGAGTTGAGAGGAAATATAAATCTGTATTAGGGAGTGGAGAAGAAGTTTTAAAAGGGTAGGGATTGAGGAGGAAATTGAAATGTGAGTTGAGGATTTATTAGGAAAAGCGGGATTTGAAATGAATAAAATCGAATGCTGAAATTTTTTTAGGGATAATAAAATTAAATAGATGACAATATATTGATTTCTTGGTACTTGGTAGGGTTTCCTCGTTTTGGTAATTGGTATCAACGCTTCTTCAATAATTGGGGTGCGATGAGTAGCACCATCGACCCTTGTCGAGATGAGCAATTGCTTCGCCAACTCAAGAAACCACTAGAGCCTTAGGTCATTACTCATTACTACTTGAAAGAATGGGAAGGGAACGAGAGGTGTGCAAGGAAAATGAAGATGATAATACCGTGAAGAAATATGTGCGCCGCAGAAATTATTGTGGAGAGAGTGAAATTAAGCTTTTGCGGTCGAATCATGAAGCTGGTGTGTGTGATACAGGAGATGGTGATGAGGTTGAGGAGGTCTTGAGCAGTGGATCTGAGCATGGGGATGAAGTATTGAAGGAGAAAGAAATTCTTGTTTCTCCTTACTTTAAGAAAAGTAAATTCGGAGAATACACTGGAATTGTGTCTGAAGAGAAATTGGGTGAATACACTGGAATTATGTCTGAAAATGCGGTGGTTGAAGGGAAATATAGCAAGAATACGATAGGGGAATGGAGAAAGGATGATAATACTACTAGTCATGGAAACACGGACCTTGATCTTTTTTCCCACTTCACATATACAGGTGGCGGATGTTTTCAGAAGATGGAATGCAAAAAAGAAGAGGGCATGATTGAGAAGAGCAGATATGGGAATGTGAAAAAGGAAGATATTGAAAATTTGGAAACATCTTTATCTCTAGGAACATGGAAAGGAGTCCGAGTTGTTTCAACTTATTTCTCAAAGGTGAGAGTGAAAGATTTTAAAATGAAACCAAAGAAGGTGAGAGTGAAAGATTTTAAAATCAAACCAAAGAAGGTGCAAGCAAGGATCGTTTCTCCTTACTTTTGCAGCACACAACAAGTGAGGAGAACACCTCTTCTGACGGCTGCCCAGAAGAAACAGCAAGCCTATGAAAGAAAAACTCCATATCACAATTGGATCCCTCCTCGCTCTCCTTTTAATCTTCTCCAGGAGGACCATTTCTTTGATCCTTGGAGAGTTTTAGTAATATGCATGCTTCTTAACCGAACTACTGGTCTACAGGTTAGTTATATTTCCTGACAAACAGAAATGTTATTCACACACATGTCTGCAAGCGCCATAATTTCTTAATCCAACCTCTCAAACAAATATCATTGAAATTATCTGGGATTTTTGGAGATAATTTTCTCCTATTTGTTCGAGACTGGAGCTTCATTTTGATTCTTCACTGAGATGTGTCATTGTGAGTCTCCCCTGGAAAGTATCCGAAATCCCATTAGATGACAAGACAACTTATTGCATTAAAAATCATAAATTGTTGCCATGTGTGACCTCAAAGAATTCCGGGTTTGTCCAATAAAATAATAAGCTCCAAATGGCTGATAGATCAATTAACTGTTCAAGAGGCTATCTTCATCAACTAAATTGGTTTAAGATCTGTTTGCACCCTGTTCTCCTCCTACTTTTATCATTTCTCTTGAAAAAAAAAAAAAAATAGAGAAACTGTTGAAACAATGTTTTGCTGGCCAATCAATCTTGGTAAATATTCTTACGTTGGTGGATTGTGTGTAGGCTAGGAAAGTATTATCAGACTTCTTTCATCTGTGTCCAAATGCCGAGACAGCCATTAAGATTTCCACGGAGGACATCGAGGAAGTAATACGCAGCTTGGGTTTGTACAAGAAGAGAGCACTAGGGATTCAGCAATTCTCTCATGAGTATCTGAATGAGAGCTGGACTCATGTAACCGAGCTTACTGGTGTTGGCAAGTAAGTTCAGTGTATTGTGTAATGTATAAGTTTCAAAGAGGTGGTTCAAAAATTTGTAACTGAGCTTTTGCATGTTTGGAATGGCTCCACTTGAACAAGGTGACACTGGGATCACTTCAAATGCACTTTCTAATCTTGCCTGGTGGCAGAAGTTTGTTTTTTTTTTTTTTTTTTTAATTACGTTGTGTTTTGATTCACTGAATCAGAGTTTATCTTACATGTTATTGTTTTAAAGTAGTATTACACATTCTTTTAGTTCAATCTGGTTTTATTAAGTTCAACAAAAAAATTCCTACTTTTGACACTCATACAATCTGTTAGTTTCAACGGGCAACTAATGGCGGGTATGAAATTCGTTAGTTGTTTCATAGTTAGGGTACTAAAATTGATATATGATAGTGTGGGGTATTGACCTTGAAATTACCTTTAGTCTGGGTACTGAGATTGCAATTTACCCTCAAACTCTTGGTTGGTCTCAGGTATGCAGCTGATGCACATGCAATATTCTGTACGGGAAATTGGGAAGAAGTGAGACCGGTTGATCACATGCTGGTCAAATACTGGGAATTCCTCTGTGCTATCTTTGATGTAAAGCTGACCCCTTAAGGCTTTTAAGCTCCTCTTATTTGTATAGTACAACGCAATCTCGATCCTTTCTTTTGATGTTTGCATCCTTTAGCTGTGTACTAAAGTAAATGTCCCAGGATCGAAGAATACACACACTTTGATATTAATTTAAGAAATAACCTTTTATTGTTAGCCTCATAGTTTACATCCTCTTGTATTAACCCTTGTATTGTTTCAGAATACATCTAAATGTCACCTAATGAGGTTTCTGTCTGCCAATTCACTCTTTCTTTCATATATTCTGATTCCCGAATTCTCTCTATCCAATATCTATCAATTTTTTTTTATTTTATTTTTTTATTTTTTAAATTATTATTTTTTTTTATGCGCTACCGATTGAATATTTCACAATTTACCATGAAATGGGCTCATTGTTCTTGTTCATCTGCACCAAAGGTCCGGAACGATGACAAGAATGCCATTTCTGGGCATCATCCTAATTGTATCTGAAAATTTTCAATCATCCCAATACTTTCTATCAGATCCACCTTAACTATTGGTGAGGAGCCAACAAACCAAATCTTACCAAACAATTTTTATGCAATATCCCACAATATGAATAAACCTCAGAACTTGATGATAAGCATCCATCTAACAATTTTGAGGCTATAAATCGAACAATATGAATATACCTCAGAACTTGATATGCATCCGTCTAACGATAGCAGCATATAATGAAACCATGTGTTAACATAGGAAGCATAATAACACAAAAGCTACTCGAAATTGTTTAACTACGTCTCTGATGCGTTGTTGCACCTCGAACCGGTCTTCCAACGATCCTGGACCGCCTTGTTCCCCGGAGACCTGCAAAGACTCTGAGAGGTGTTCCATGCATTAAACCTTCGACGATCAAGTCAGTAAGGATCCTGAAGATCAAGTCAGTAAAAATCCTGAAAAGTTATGTGAAACTGAATGAAAAATGTTTAGAGTATAGAATGTGATTAACCTTACCTCATCCTCAATTTTACCTATTTATAAGGGTTATTAGCTTTTTCAGTAAGCTTCCTTCTTCCTTCGTCGGATCATTTATTCCTTTTTATATTGGCTTTACACGCGTCCCTTGTGGACCACCTTTCATAACCGCCTCCATAGGTCGGTCCTTAGTTTGTGAAGTACCACCATAGGTCGGTCTCCCCTTATAATACTCTTTTGCTATGCTATGTCGAGCTACTTCTGTGTCGAGCCACTCACCAACATAGCTACTATTATGTCGAGCTACTTCTATGCCGAGCTCCTATCACTTTCAAGTCACACAAGCAGCCTAGTTACCCTTATACCGAGCTACTAACATAAAGTTCCTCTCCCCAGCAACTGAAGTACTAAGCTTCTTTACATTAGCACTATGATCCTAGCTTCTCATCATCCAAGCTTCTAACTCTGACGAGCTCCTCCTGAACCCGCCATCCTAACCAACGTCGGTCTATAAACCGAGCTAGCGTTGACCGATTGTACTACGATATTTCCTATGTGCTATATCATCTAGACCCCACCCCCCATTATCTAACGAGATATCACTCTCCAAGCTTGATAGACTTGTTTGATAATTATAAGGTTGGTATCAAATTTGTCGACCTACCCTTACTGTGCTTTGTCCGACCTGCCAATTGAAAAGACGTACCTCGTACGTCGCGCCTACCTTTTCATCTTACCTAATCATCATTGCCCTTGGATTCCGCGATAAGGTTTTATCTCCCAAGCTTTAGATCTTCTTTGATCAAACCCGCTAGCCATCTTTTCCCTTTGCTATAATGACACCCTTCTCCTCGTTTCTTTTTTGCGCCTCCTGATTTTCAAACTTGTTTTAGCAAAAGGCCATTTCTCAAAATTTCCGGTGACCTTCTCCCGTACTCTGGCCCTCACGTGTTTTCTTCTCCGACCATCTTTTGCCTGCGATTACCTCATCCGACATGGGTAAGTATTTTCTCTCTTTTCCTCTTCTCCCTTTTTTTATTATTTTTCTTATTTTTTTATCGTTGTATCTTCCTTTTTTTACTTTCCCGACCACTGTACTCGTCGGCGCTTATATTCTCCGTTTCTCATGTATATGCCGTTGTTACTGTTTTTTTCTTTTCCTCCCTTTTTC